AGCGATTCTGGTGGCTCAGCTGCCGCCAGATCGCTCCTATAGACCCGTAAAGTACTCGCCCCTCCTGCAGTGTTTGCCGGGCTCTGCTGCCTCTCCTGCGGACCCGGGACTGGCATGTTGGGTGCCAGTGGGAAGGCATTCGCCTTTCTCCTCCCTGTTCTATGGGACCAGGAGCGATGCGGATTGCATCACTTCCAGTCCCTGAGCTGTCATTACTCAACTCCTGAAGCCGAGCATTAAGCTATTGAAGTGCAATCTGCACTCCAATAACTTATTTAAAGTGGAAAGATCATACTATGGATCTTTTGGACCCCCAGTATCACCTTAAAGGGGACCTGTCATCACCAATATGCTATCACACAGGGGGGGGCTTGTATTTATCACTACATTTTTAGGTTTGATAAAGAGTTGCACCAATATCATGCAACATAAAAAATTTGCAACTGCCACCATTTTATTCTACAGGGTGTTGGCTTTCAGAAAATATATAATGCTTTGGAGTTTAAAGTAATTTTCAGGTCTGAAATGTGGATTATATCATGTGCGCAAAAAAATGAAAACAAAAAGGTCTTGGCAGCGAAAGGGTTAATCCTAATCATCCCTGCACCTCTGCCCTTAGCTATTATATTCCACCAGTAATATTCAAAATAATTTTTTTCATTTTTCTTTATTTTCACATTAAAAAAAGGCAACATTGTAAAATAAGCTTTTTTTAAATTTGTAAATAACTTTGCAATGCATTTTCAGAATCATAGTTTCAAATCATTTTTGCAAGACAACATGACCAAAAGAAAGTCTTGATCTGAAAAAGACCAGTGTCAGTGGTGTCGCTAAACGGCCTGTTCAAGGGGCAGTCTGACTAAATGTCAGTGCTGACTGTTCTTTCACGTTCTTTGTAACCCGACCTGTACTTTGTTGTTTGCTTCTTTGCTACTGTTTTGGCTTATTCCTGACCTTTCTTTTGATCCTTCTTAATACTTCTGCTTGGTTATCTGCTTATTTAGTTTCCGACCTCGGCTTCATCTCTGACTCTGATACTGCCTATGATTTAGTACCGTGGCAACCCCTGTTAAATGCTGACCATGGCCCGCTACTGCCTCTGACTCGATCCTAAGTAACTGTTCCGGTGCCTACTGTTGTCTATTTTGAGATGCAGCTGCAGTTCTATGGGTGCTCCTGATGCCTGCCTGCTGGTTTGCTCAGCAGACCTTGCTGTCTTGGACTCACTGCAAAGCCAGAGTTCTTAATTTCTGTTCGTGCTTCCAGTGGCCCCCCACCGACTGCTCCCCTGACACTCTTGCCTACACATCGTGCTGGTTCCTCCTGGTTGGCATCACTGGTCAGAAGTTCTGCAAGCAACATCCCCATGCATTCATGTTCCTTCTGTACCACAGCACCACCTGTCTTAATTCCAGGGGCGCTTGGTCATCTTAGTCTCAGTCTCATATCAAGCACTTGACACAGACTGAACAAGTATTTTGGGGATTTTGCAGGGAGACTAAAGGAAAACTTTAAGCGCAGATGCACTTATACTAAAGTGTTACAGCACATTTCTTTTAAAATGGGAGGTCAGATTGCTACTTTAAGTAATGACAAAGGTATTGCCGAATAAACTAAGGCTACTACAAAGCATAATTTCTCTGCTCAGGATGCCCGAGGCATTTTGTCTGTGACTATAACTGTCACTGTGACTGGGAAATCTGTGTTTGAGGGGGTGTTAAAAATGAAGACATGATTTTGTGGGTGTGGTGAAACATTTCTATTTTTCTTTTCTCAGAAAATGTGTCTATTGTGAATGGAAAAGCTCTGTAATCATTTAGTAATACAGACATGTGAACCATAAAAATAAATATTTGCCTTGGACTATGTAGTGTAACTGATAAGAATGCTGCTCCCAAGAACATGAAAGGAAAGGAAATCTAGAATAATTAATGTTAGCAGATAGAATGCAGGATAACCTGTTTGACAGAATTATATATATATTTTTTTTTAAAGCAGTGCACATACTTGAATTAGACCTGGGATCAGCATCTTGCATTCCCTGTACAACAGCATTCAGACTGGGGGAGGGCAGCACATGGAGTCAATCACTCATGCAGTAGTGCAAGAAGTATGCTATTATGAGGAGATAGCAGAGTGGCAGAAAGATGAGCTCACCATTCTGCTGTTTCTCCTTTCACTATCCAGTCACTGGCTAGGAGAGGGACAACAACAGTAAGCGGTCTATTTATAAACCTTTTGCACAGCCATTTGCACTATGAATCTCTGTGAATGTTTGTGCTATCCAAAAAGAGGCAAAAAGAAACCTTCTTAGTATATTTTCTTTTTTTTTTTAGGCCAAATGTAATGTAATGAAATCTCTTTTGGTTTTAACATACACTTTTGGAAACGATTATAGTTTCTTGAATAAAAATCACATTCACTGTTATTATTTTATTTGTTTGATCAACATTTTCTATCCTTCTCCATCAATTTTTTTCGTCACTACGATCGAAATCTACTGATGATTTCACCCCATTAAAAGAGAACTATGGGGTAACCTTTTTATCCCATAGTTCTCTTAAGGGTCATGGGAGGACATATACTAACCTCCTCCTGTGACCCAAAGCTCAGTATATAGCGAGCTACAGCTCGCTTTATACTGAGAGTGCTGCAGCCGGGACGGATCCTGACAATACTGTCGAGATCCACCCAGCTAGCTGATTAACAGGGGGCTCTGCCTATATAGTGGCAGAGCCGGCTGTGCCCACCCCCTCCCTGTCCGTTCCTCCAGCCAGCGCTGGAGGATCGGAGAGGAGGGGAAATCCCTGCGGGGGGGGGGGGGGGGTGTGG